GGAAGCAAGCCGGACAGGGGGAGGGGGGAGGGGGGCGCTGGCCACCCCCCACCCCCCCAATGCCTGCCCCCAGGTGTTCCTAGACAGGGTCCTGGGATATTTCTGGAACCGGAAGCAGAAGCGCTCCCAAAGGCACTCCAGCACCAACCTGGTAACAGCCCCCTCTCCCTCCCCTGCCATCTCCGCTGTCCCAGTGAAGCCTAGAACACCATCCCTTCCCACCTGGGAAAAAACCGTGGCAGGGAGGGGCATGCAGTGACCTTAGCTGGTCCCTGGGTGGGAGGGAGGATTCCCCCCTCCTCTGACCCTCTCCCTCCTCCCACAGCTTCAGGAAGGGCTGAGCAGCCATGGAAACCAAGTGCCCCATCTCAGCTTGGGCCCCAGGTAACAGGAAATGCCCCCCTAAGGTCAAAGGATGGGCAAGTCTAATCCAGAGGGTGAAGTTCGGGTCCAGGAGGGCAGGAGCAGGGCACTGGTTCAAGGCCTCCTGTCCCAGCCCTGTGGTCTGTGTCTCAGCAGGTCCCCCACCCCTCCCTGTGCCGTCACCAGGACTCTCTCTGCCTCCCACCGCACCTGCTACCTCGTCACACGGCTCTAGACCTGGTGTCTGTGTCTTCAGGGCCGAACCTGGACATTTGGGACATGCCCTGCCCGCACGTGACTTTGCCACCTTCATCTCAAATAAAGTTCTAGTGCCTCAGCCTGAGCTGTTCCTCTTACCGGCAGACTAGTCAGGCCAAGGTCAGCCCTACTCAGGCACAAGACCTCTGCCAACCACCATCTAGAGGACACTGTGTCAGAAACGTGGGTGGCTTCCCAGTTTACCTCCAGATGTCTCTCTGGGAGAGAAGAGCAATAAGCAGGCATCAGTCACTTGCACCTCAGTGGGAATGAGTTTATCAGCCTGACATCTCAGAAAACGGAGCCCGAAGCCAGGTGTGCGGGCAGAGAGGAGTCAGTGGCAGGACAGTCCCGTCTGGGGGACTATAAGGGAATGGCTGGGAGGAGGCTCTGACCCAGAGCCTGGCAAGAAGTTGGGGAGCAGGCAAGGAGAAGACAGAGGGTCTCTTCCACCTCCATGAACAAACCTATTGTCCTGCCTTAGATCATGGTTATTTTTCTCACATTTGGGACCAAGCGTGCTCTGTCTCCATGAGAACAGCTCTTGCTTCCCCAACCTCCCTACAACAGCAGAGGCCCCAGCTTGAGATGGTGAGAGGGCCCTCCCTTCCCACATGTGCTAATAAGGACACACCCAGTCCCCAGCCCCAGCTCACTTTCCTGTGCTCCTTCTCTGCACCCCAAATATTAGAAAACTGACAAATAAGAGGAGCAGGGAGAGGTGTTCCTGATCTAACCACATCTGTGGGTGTCTCCTGTCTCAGCCTGCAGGCCTAGGTATGGGGGTGGGGATGAAGAGGGAAGGGACAGGCACTGGCTGCCCAATCCCTCAGGACCGTCTAAGGCCCTCCCAGGCAGAAAACAGGGTGTGCACAAGTGCCTGAGCACAGACAGGTGTGGGCACAGCACTACCCAGAGTCCAGCCACAGGGGTGAGAGTCACAGCCTCCAGCCTCCAGCCTCAGGCCACTTAAAGAAGTACAGCGGGACGGGACAGCTGGGCTGTGTTCCAGCTGGAAGCAGGGGTGCAGAGTGGTGAAGCAGAGCAGGGGCCCCTGGCCAAGCCCACCCTCTCTCAGAGCCACCCACCACCACACCAGCCAGACTGTGGGAAAGGAGCCAATTTATGAAATTAAATAAAGTCCGTGGAGGGAGAGAGAACCCAGGGGAGGGCGCCTCCACCCTGGTGGGCCCAGCACAGCTGGGGCTCAGCACATGGTGCGTCCTTGCTTTTTTTTTCCCCTCCCGGGAGGGGGCTGAAATAGACCAGGCCCCAGCCTGGCAGCCAGGGTCTGAGAGCCTAGGGGGGGCAGAAGTCAGAGAAGTAGGGGTGCTGCAGGGCCTCCTCTGCCGAGATGCGCTGGACGGGGTTGCACTTCAGGAGGTTCTAGAGGCAGGAGGAAGGAAGGTGTGGCCCGGTCAGGCAGGGTCAGCTACCTAGAGCCCCGAACCTCCCCCAGTCCCTCTGCCCTTGGTCACCTGCAGCAGGTCCCTGCCTGTGGCGTTGAGCTTGGGTACGACGTTCACCAAGGATGTTGTGGCTGGGTACATCGGGTAGGGCTGGGGGGACAGGGAGAGTCAGACCAGGGGTGTAGGGCATGGAGTCTGCTTGGGCTGAGAAATGAGGGACCACTGATGAACCATGACCCTTCATCCCCATCACACCTTATAGTCTGGCAGCTTGGTCATGGCGGGCCACTGCTCCTCAGTCGGTGTCCCCAGAAGTGTGTCCAGGGAGTCAAGGACCACTCAGTGCAACGGGGCAGGATGAGAGGCTCTTCTCCAAAGACGGATGCCTCAGACTCACCCCTGCCCTCCTCACTTTACTCCCCAGCTCACCACAGAAGAGGCCCCACCACATGCGACTCATTTTCAGTCCCACCGCTGCGGTGTTTACCGTGGGCCAGGCACTACAGAGACACAGTAACTGCTGTGACCTGAACCCTGATGTCTGTGGTCAGACTTCCCTGACTCCTGCAGATTCTCCTGCTGATCCTTCTGGCTCCTTGGTCCTAAGGAGTCACCTTGAAGCTGGAGGAGCATCCTCCTGGCTTCTTCCCCCAGGGATCCCTCTTTGTCTACATGTCACTCTCTCCAGCTGGCTTGCATGCAGCTGCACTGTGACAACCAGGGGTGTCCATCACCCTCTGTTCCCTGACCATCAGAACCCACAGGCCCTCCCATGCTGGCCCAGCCCATCGCCACCCTCAATCCCTGCACTCGGAGCTCCAAGGCTCCTTGCTCCCCTCCCAGAGGGCTTGAGGCAAAGGGGAATGGAAGGATATCGGAAGATCCTCTTCAACTGGTCATCTACATCGTTGCCAGGGAAGAGAGGCCGCCCTGCATTGGCCAGCTCTGGGAGAAAGAGGAGAGGTGAGAGGAGCTGACATATGAAGAACCCCTCACTCCCATGACACCCCTTCCCCAAGGGCCCTGCTTCTTGCCCCAGAGGGGACCCTCCAAGCCCTATCTGTCAGCTCAAAGGGGAGGGAAAGTGCCTCTGCAGACCCCCAGCATGTCACCTGCAAAAATGCAGCCGGCTGACCACATGTCAATGGACGTGGAGTACAGCTTGGCCCCAAAGAGGACATCCGGTGGGCGGTACCACAGCGTGACCACCTGGAAAAGACCCCACCCACAGGGACCCCCCACTTAGAGGGCTGGGAGGAGTAGGCTCAGAGAGGAGAAAATAATGTTCTGGGTCCTGGAGTAGGAGCTGAGAGGTGTTCACTGGGGAAGCCCTCCCTCACCCTGACATCCCACCCCGCCAGCTCACCTCAGCGGAGTAACAGCGAACAGGGATCCCAAAGGCTCGAGCCAGCCCAAAATCAGCCAGTTTCAGCTCCCCATTCTGAGGGAGACAGAGGAACAGTGTCAAGGCCAGCTCCGTGCTCCCACCTCCCAGCCCGGCTGCCTCATCGCTCAGCCCTTGGCTCCAGCCTCCCCCATCTCCCACCTTCTCCCTGAGAGGTACCCTGTTTATGAGCAGGTTCTGGGGCTTCAGGTCCCTGTGCAGCACGTTTCGGCTGTGACAAAATCCCAGGCCTTTCAGCAGCTGGAAGAGGAATGACTGGGGGAGGGGCATGGAAGAGGGCATCAGACCCTCCGGACAGGAAGCTGTGACTAGCAATGGCTCACACTCACCTCTGCACCTTTGCTTTGCTTCGCACCCACCCGTCTTTCAGCACCAAGTTGAGTGACATGCCATTCCTTTATTACCAAGGACTTACTTTGCATTATGCCAGGTATTAGAAGTGAACAGTGAATGGGGGCCCTGGTACCCACCTTTCTGGAACTTATAGCTAGTGGGCCTTTCTGCCTTCCCAGCCAATGCTGACCTCTCCCCTACCTGTCCGCATGTACATATACGTGCTATATTATTATTCAGCATTTGTTTCTCTTGCAAACTGGGACAAGTCACTTGGTCCTGGGCCCAGAACAGTGCCTGGCGTACAGCAAAGCATTCAGTGAGTGTTTGTTGAATGAATAACGTATCTCTCTGAATCTCATCTCTCAAGTGTAAATCATATCACCGAGACCAGAGCATTACTGTCAGGTCAAAGGGATCATGGGAAAATGCTCCTGGAGAGCAGAAACAGATCCTCTCAGTCCCTGACACCCACAGCATCCCTGTTCAGGGCCTGAACTTGGTGCTCAAAGAGTAGGACACTGAACATATCCTCCAACCTCAGCCTCCATGAGTCCCCAGAACACCAGTCCTCTCACCTTCACAATTTCAGGATCTAGGTCACCATTGCAGCTGTCAAAATATTTCTTAAGGTCCTAAAAAGGGGTGGAGGTGGGGGAACAGGACAGAGTTTAACCTCAACCTGGGCTCCTATACCCTCCCAAGACTGTTGTCCCCCAAGGCCCCCTTTCACCTGGTCACAGAACTCAAAAACCAAAGTCAGCTTCTTGTCGCTATGCAGGACGTCATGAAGCCTAGGGAGAGGGGAGGGCTCAGCCAGGCAGGTCCACAAGTGTGCTCCGAATATCCCACTAGCAGCCCAGTCCATCTCTGAAGCCCCCACCTCCTCCCACTGGCCTGCGGTCTACACACCTGACAATGTTCTTGTGCTTCAGCTCTTTGAGCAGGCAGATTTCCCGAAGGGCAGAACTCGGCACTCCCTACACAGGGGAGGGGGCCCGGCGGGCAACAGTCACAGACCATCCAGCCTGGGCCCTCAGCCACCTCCCTGGCCCAGACGCCCCAGTCTTACCTCATCATCATCATCCAGCCTCACCCGTTTCAGGGCCACGATCTCATGAGTCTCCCGGTTTTTGGCCTTGAACACTGTTCCGTAGGTGCCTAGAAGAAGGAAGCTGGGGTGAGGGAAAGGATGGGGCACCCTTCTCCAATCTAAGTCCCTCGGGGGAGAGGAGGCATCATGGGAGTGTGTTATTTTTGATGCCTGGAGTAAGGGTGGAGAATCAGGGTGAAGGCCGGGCGTGGCAGAGCTTTGTGAGTGGGGACGTGGCAGAGAAGGGGCCTGCAGAGGCTCAAGGGGCTTTGCAGCAGGGAGGCTGTGGCTGCCAGGCAAGGAGGTCTACAATGAAGGCGGTGCTTGGAGAGGGGCCGGAAATAGCGAGCAGGGGTCTGGGAGAGGAATGAAGGCTGGCAGGAATGCTGAGACTGGAGGTCTGCTGCCAGAACGGAGGCTGGGATTCTGCAAGTGGTGCTGAGGCTGGGGGTGGGAAATGCAGGAAGTGCTGAGGTCGGGAGGTCGGGCCTACAGGGAGTGCTAAGGCTGGGAGGTGGCATCTGCGGGAAACGCTAACGGGAGGATGGGTGTCTGCACGGAATGTTGTGCTCAGGGCCGAGGCAGCAGCCAGGGCTGAGGTCGGAGTCTGTGGGCATGGCTGATGGGAGAGGAGCCAGAGATGCAAGGAACGCAGAAGATGATCTTGCAAAGAACATCTCGTGGTCCCATTACCTTCCCCAATCTTCTCCAGTTTCTCGTATTTCTGCATCGCGGCAGCCGCGGGGACCCTTTCGGGCCCTCGGTTCTAATACTCTGGCACCGGAGATGCAGAGGAGGCGGCACCCCAGCCTCCAGCCCCGCCCCGCCCTCCTGCCTGCGCATGAGCTTCTGGAGCTTGTAGTCCTAAGACGGCCAAGTTTCCCAGTAATGCCCGGGGCCTTAGACAACAAGAGGACTACAACTCCCAGCATGCTGCGCTCAGGCTCTCTGCCGCACTCGCTTCCCGGGACTCCGGTTCCACCGCCGAGGCAAACCCTGGACTTCAAGTCCCAGGAAGCACCACGTGTCCGCTTTCCGGGCGCCCCAGCGTAGCGCCGCGGCTCCCAGTGTGCTCCGCTCTTGTTTCTTTCCGTGGCCACTGCCTTCTTTTGAAAAAGGCCTCCCCGGGACTGCACATTCCCGAGTGCAGCAGGGCGGGGGTGGGCGTGGGCACTCTCTGCGGTTTGGGGTTTGGCGGCCTACTTCCCGGACGCAGGTGGCCCAGCTCTGCCCGGGTTGATGGTGGTGTGGAGGTCCCAACGCCCTCGTGACAATCTCTGCACGGGTTTCCACCTCTCCCCAGGCCACCTGGTGACCCCGGCGTTGACTGGGCAATGACTGAGCCGTCTCTTACCGATAATGACTTTTACGGGGACCAGCTGACCATAAGGCTGGGCAGGGAGGCAGGTGTGCTCCGTTTGAAACTGGATGTAACATACGCGCCAAAGACCATTTCTTTTCTCTGGACCCCATCTGTGGGCTTGGAGCCCACCCGACTCCAGTCGCTCGCTTCACTCTGACATCCCCGGGCAAACTGGCTGGGGCACTGGGAGTCGTTCCCCTGCCCCACAACTCCATGCCACTCTCCAGAGTCCGAGCCCAAGAGTCAGCCAGGGTGTGGCCAAGGGCTGGCAGGCTGGTTACCGCCCTCCACAGACAGAAGCACAGACAGATCCTTGCCCTCGTCCCTTAAGGAGGTGATTATAGATTTTATTGCGCTGCTCTCTAATTGTCTCATGATTGCATTTCTGAGCGCTGTGAACTGGAAGAAAAGGGTCCACAACAGCGCTCGGCGCAGGAACCCGAGTTGGTGCTATAAACACTTGCTAATTAACTTGTTTATATCTGAACGTTTTCTACCTTCACGATGCTGTGCTTCACCCAGTGGCAGACTACAGAAAAGAAGCGAAAAGTATATTCCTTATTTGGAAGAATTGATAATTTAGTTGAGAAAACCAGAAGTGCATAGATTATTAAATGACAGGTGATGACTACGAATTGGGTTCAAGGAAGGAGGACTTCGCAGGGACTCTCTCCCTGGCAGAAGTCCCCCCACATTTGGAAAGCTGAGGTCAGCTCGGGGTGATGGGTATCCAACCTCCAGCCCGCAACACCCCTCTCGCCCCCCCGC